AATTTTTTTATTCTGAAAAATATATTTTTGGTATCACTGTGGTGGAGCAACAAAAAATATGCAAGACAATATTTTCTTGCTGTCTGCCTTCTGGGAGCCGGCTGGAAAGGGTTAAGGTAACATATAGATGATTATATTTAACAGAAAAACTTATATATTTATGAGTCAACATATTTATTATACTAAAAAAATAGGACAAAAAAACTAAAGTGAAAGTATGAGATTCATCGATAATCGATTATATTTATATGAATGGAGTTATATTAGATTTTTCATACATTCATATGTCATTAATATATAATTTTGCCATGTTCATGCCATATATCGGTATTCTGATATTGATTACAGCTAATATCCTTGGTAAGATAAAACAAATCAAAATAAATCAAAATTCTCTTCTGTTTTTGAAAAAACAAAAAAAAGGTGAATACATTCAAAGTCAAGATAAACCAACAACAACATTAAAATCAACTGAACGACCAAAAGGTAATCCATCATATTTTTTAATTTATTCTTTTCTTAATAACACTGTTAAAAATGTTTTAAAAATATTTTAAGAAAAAATCTTCGTTTTTTTTATAGAACCTTGTCAAGGAGATGATTGTCAAGCGGCTCCAAACTTAGTTGCTATTTTAGTTGGTTCTCTTTGTGGAATTTTTGGAATTGTTTTAATCGGTATTTTCATAACATACTTTTGTTTAAGACGAAAATATAAAAAAACTCAAATAAATCACTTGACACGACCAATTAATTTCATTGAACAACCATCACTTTATACGGTTGCAATAAGTACTAATGATAGTACATCGAAACTCTATGGAATATTGCCATCAAAAAATGATTCAATATCTTCACATTATTATGAACAAATTCATTATAATCAACGTTGATAATCATCTCTTTTACTCGTTTTTTTTCTAATACTTCATTTGTGAATATTTCTTCTTTTATTTTCTATCGAAAAAAAAAAAATCTTTTGTTATTAATCGATTAATGGCATATATATATATAATACTACCAACAAGAATCATAGTCAATAGTAAAATATAAAAAGCTCTTCTCTTATTTGTTTCATTAAAATTTGATTTCATTATTAATGATTTATACTCATTCAAGAAAATATTATTTAACAGAATTTCAATTATTATTTTCATCTCACGAATAAAATCATTGATTTATTTTACACAAAAAAAATTTATTTTAATTAAAAGAATTTACTAAATTAATCATTTTATTACTATTTCAAATAGAAGAAAACAAAAAAAAAATGTTTCTTAATA